CCCCAAAACCCCAAAACCCCAAAACCCCAAAACCCCAAAACCCCAAATAATAGTATAGTTGTTGAGATTTGTGGAATCTTAATTCAGATTAGGACTTACCATCAGCTTAAACACAAAATAAGATATACCAACCACTGTTGAAAATGATGCTATAAGATCTGTCCTGCTTGAATACCTACTATACCTGGCAGGTTCCATGACGCTTAGTGCATGATTGGCAGCAATCAGCAGCACTAATGCATGATAGAGGTACTCAAAGCACTGAGATTTCCTCTGTTTCCACGTAATTAAATTCTCTGGAGCTTCAAATATATCATAACGATCCTCAAACTTAGTAGGGACTGAACCATCTTTGAACCATTCATATTTAGTCAAGGGTGTTGTCAATATCAGAACCACACCTAACAGGCTGGATATCCTTCTACTTCTGAGAGTGTTCTCGACCAATTCTGGAATTTCAAAAGCAGGGATTCTTTCAGCAAGGAAATTCGGCAGATATTTTGCTAATTTTTCAGACAATTTTGTCAATCTGGATTCTAAATTATTAAAAATGTCCATTGCGGCATGTTTAAAAGGTAGATTTGACTTCTGTGGATTTGACTTATCGTTTAAAACCATCAATGCACTATGTGCAGTGAAAAGGCAGAATAAACCTCCATTTAAGATATTTGAGTCTGACTTTTTGAGGAAATTTCAGATACATAAGCAGGCGATAGATCCCAAGATTCAGCAAAATATAAAGAGGAATTCTTTGGTTCCGTTCTGGGGATCAGACAAACTTATAAAATGGAGATAGACTGCACATATCAAACTTCCTCAAAAGAGAGTAGTTGAAATGAGAAATGGAAGCTGGTAAATTCTTGGTCTGTCATAATAGATCCTTCTGGATATAAAAAATGAAAGATTGATAAACTGACATACTTCAAATCATCCATATACAAATCCTGTCAAGTCAATCGCCACATTAAAGTATTGTAGAGTTTCTTCTGAGGAATATTGAAACACCATTAAAGAGACTCCAGCGAGGATAGAGGTCTTAAAAATCAAGTTATCTTCTGCAAGTACTACAATCTTTGAATGAGCGAGAAGTGATAACAAACCTAGTACCAGATTTGCTGCAACAATTCCCATGGAAATTTTTACTGAATAGCTTGAGCTACTCATCATTGCAGCTCCAATGCCTACAAGTCACCAGAATTGGAAGTCGGTGATTAAAAATTTTAACATTATATTTCAATTTTGTTTTGCAAATTGGGGTTTTGGGGTTTTGGGGTTTTGGGG